GTGGCTTTGGCTTTTCGTGGCTTTGTTTGCAACTCGCAGACAACCATGAGATATTGTTTTTGGAATCCTCGCATTGCTTCATGTGAGCTCTGAAGTGTAATCTGCACTTTGTGGTTCAAAAAAGTGCTGCGCCTGCCACACAAAGGTTTCTAGGTTCACAAAGTGCTGCACCTGCCACGAAATCTGCACTTCGAGGTTCACGAAGTGCCGCGCCTGCCACGAAATCTGCGCTTCGAGGTTCACGAAATTTTCCGCCTGCCACAAAATGACCAAGTGAAGGTACTCAAAATGCTATGCCTGCCACGGAACCACTATGTGGAAGCGCTACCAGAAAAAAGCATCCCAAAAAGGGCGCGAAAAAATTATTGAATAGAATCGGCAACCTGTGTGAGCAGAAGACACGAGTCCCCAACGAGGTTCTTTGCTGTGTGGTTTTGGTTTCACGCCAGTGCACATGGAGCAGTTGCCTAGTTTTGCCGGACAATCACGAGTATCGAAAAAGACCTCCAGAACCAAGAAATGGAAGTGATAGGGGCCACTGCCCAGGTTATCGACAAATATTGCATCGAAACATGGTAGGAACACGAACTATCTCCTCCAAGCTGTTGATAGCTGTTGTTGATCAGCAAGCTACTGAAGTTCACCCTAACTTGCTGCCATTATCAATCAAAAGAAAGGAATGTGCATTGCTGTCCATAGCTTTCCTGACCCAGCTCCCCTGTCCCGTGGTGGCCCTGTGGTACGGATCCAGTCTTCCTGCAGGGCTTGCTGGAGCACGAGAAGAAGATGGCGGAGCCACAGGTGGAAGAGCGCAAGGGCACCTGCTGGAGCTTTGGCCGAGCACACCAGCCCACCAAGCTTCATGCGTATAAAGAATCAAGGCGGACTGCCAAAGCTCTCACGTAATGGTCCACATCAAATAAAGCTATATATATATATGTGTATATATATATAATAAAGAAATTTAGATATGAGGACCACTCCAAGCAGGTGGAGCGTACTTTGGGAGACATAAGTACTGTACCCATGTTCTGTTCTGGCAGCTTTGTCGACCAACTGATCAAAACCCAGATGGGGATTTTCAGGATGATGCATGACGAACCCCCCAACTCTCCAGCTGTTTCGTGTAGTCCTCCAGGTGAATGGGAAGTGTATATAAGATTTCTTGGTGATTCCTCAAGAGCTACAGCAGCCAACCTAGGAATCACTAACATCTTCTACATTGTCACTGCGAATGACAGACCATATAGCCTCTAAAGGTATACGAGGAGGGACACCCCTCTTCTAGAGATTGGGACTTGAGAAGCCACCGTAAGTAGGTTGATCAAAACAGATTGTCATGAATTTTGCTTCCTGGAAAACAAGGTTCTCGGAAACCCTTTGGGTACCAAAGGAATCTGAGATGCGTGTTAAGGTCACTTGAGAATGTCTCAAGCCAACGGAGTTCATTCCTAGGTTCCTCTTTACTGGGGTGTCAAAGCGTTCGTTCACCAGGATTCCTTGAGAAAAATTGAAATTGTATGAAATTGTAGAAATGGCAAGGTAGACCAAATAAGTGGGCCTCTTTGGAGAGAACTCCAAATTCTTGAAGCACTTGTCTCCTGTGGGAACATCCTCCCTCCCGTTGTCGCTGAGGAATTGTTGGACGAAGCCACCTGCCGCGCGTGAGACTGAGGCTTTACTGCGGAAAGAATGAGGTGACAGGTAGGTGTGGAAGCTCTACGCAGTAACTTAAATCCACGTGAAGACTATCAAGACATGATTGCCAATGGGACCATAGGAACTTAACTACACATGAAGCCCAGATGTGTCTTCAAGATCTACCCAAGACGTATAGTGAGTATAGTATGTACTGTAGAGGGTGTCATAAAAACAAATTTCCTCTCCTCTCAGAGCTGGCATCCTTGTCACAGGGTGGACGCCGTGGGCGCCATGTAGCTAGGCTCTGCATGAAGTTGATTTCATGTGCACTCCAAAGATGCCTCCAGCACATCAGGGAGCTCGTAAGTGAAAAGTACGGTGCGAAAGCCACAGAGTGCGGTGCCACACCACACAACCTGTGGAGTTTGACGTCCCACCCGAATGTGCTTTCGTTCGTTTCGTTCCACCCGCGGGTTCCCCTTCATGGAGGATGTATAAATTTGCCAATGCCGCCCTCACGGCGCCAATTCGATCCTCGCCACCGCTGAACAGACCGAGCTGGTGCAGAGAGGGGCTTATGATAGGGTCGTTCAAGTGGGTCGTTTGTGACGCTGGTGCAGAGGTCAATTGACTGTTGATCTATATTAGAATTATCGGACATGTAGGCTCATATGCATTTTCTTCCCTTCAATGATCCTTCAAAACGCCCAACTATGTGGTTGAAATCCCTTTGAGCAACAATATAGAGAGAGACCACATGAGACCACCAAGGAGAATGACCGCCCACTTGTTTGCCAGCATAGCTTGTTCGAAGCCCACAAGCATTTTCGGATTGTTTTGTTCTTGGAGAAGCAGTGGCACGAGGAAGCTACGTTTTTGAGCAGCTGCTACATCCATGAATATACTTGGATGTGCAGTCACAATTTGGATGCATTGGATAGGGGGAGGCGATGAACCAATTTAGGATGAAGACGGTGCCGTCCCAAACCGAGTCTGCTTCAGAAACCACAGACCTCGCTTTTGTATCAGAGGACCTCACGGACGTCCAGGTCACTGGGCTCTGCCGGTCTTTCAAGGGCGTCTTCCAACAGCTTCTCCTCAAACGTGATAGCAAAAGGAACCCACTAGCGATGGCCTTCAACCATCCTTCAACCTAATAATAGCAATGGCCTCGTCCATGTTGCTTTCACGTGCTCTCACCATATATACTTCTGTTATTTTCTCGTGGTGCCTGGTGACTCGATTTACGGCAAGCCTTGCCTTGCCTTCACTCCTGATGCATCTTCCCAATCGGCTGGGTTGTAGGGGCTTTCGATGTATCGCCTCTAAAAACTTCAGCCATGCATGGCACACCTTGGTGGAGGATCCTGTGTCTCGGTGGAAGCCATAGTCGAGTGGGTCAAATTGTTTCGCCATGGTCACATTCTGGCTTGGCCAAAGAACCAATACCAGTTTCTTAGTTTGTTGAGCAAAGTGTTTTGGTTAAGCATTTCGTCCTATTCATACCGATTTCTGTGCTCCAACTCCAGCCGGACCAGGACAACACTCGGGTTCCGAGAGATTTCACCTCTGTTGTCAAAGGGCAATCAGAGCAAAGGCAGTCGGAGGTCGGAGAATGTCGCAGAGGCAGTCAGGGCAAAACATAGAATCCTGAGTGGCGGCAGCGCGGTACCGAAGCAGAGGCGTGGAATGTGGTGCGCGTGGAGACAACGTGTCAAAGGACTGCAAGCTTCGAAGCATGAAGTAGGATAGTTTGCCCCCTACACATTTCTCCGGTGAATTTGCTTGGACTTATCATCCCACTCTGGAAGTTTGCCATCATGTCGCCACAGACTAGAGTGGATATATTTTCATGAACGCCTGCAATCCAGCCAGTTGTTCGACGACATTCTCCGTGGCATGAAAAGCGCCCCTCAGCTCAGGAAATGCAATGCCGCACTGAAAGCGTCACTTGGCAGAAGGGTTGAGATGGGTTCCGTCAACGTCCTGAGATCCTGGATGGTCTTAGCACACTTGGTATGCGATCGAACCCCGTGCGATTTCAAGGAGCATTGTCAAAGCTCGGAACGTTGCCTGAGTCGCCCTTCAAGCGTTCTGTTTGAAGCTTCTGGGTGTGACAATACTCAATAGACCAATGGGCAAGTCAATAGCTTCTAAGACCCTGTATGTTGCAGGCGGACGTGGATGGCAAGTTCACAGTTTTTGCGATGCCAGGTTTGGGAAGGAGGAGATCGATTGGAAGCTACCCATCACCCTGGAAGAGGGCTGAGAGGCTGGAAGGGCGAAGCTTTTTCAAGTCGGGGAAGACGACTTGATGTCAGAGATCGGCCGCTGGCAGCACTTTGATTGAGATTTGATTGAGTAGACAAGGAATGATTATACCAGTAGCGTCCTTGCTACTAGTAGTATTGCGAGGAGCTACTAGTAGCGTCCTTGCTCATAGTAGCGATGCCCTTCCTTACTAGTAGGGTCCTTGCTCCTAGAGCTAGATTCACTTGGAGACTCTTTTCGATATCATCATACTTTGCCGACACCTAAAAAAGAATCTTATAGGGGTTTCATAAATGCTTTGGAACTTCCAGGCAAATTATCATGTATCCATATTTTGCCTCAGGAGTTTGATAGAGTAGACATGAGTAGACCAAAACCAGATAGCATGAAGGCACTAAAAAGATCCCAAAAGCGTGCAGGATGAACAGGAATCAACATGAATCAACTACATCCAGTCATATCCAGTCAATACACCGTCGGTTGTTGAGATGAAGCAAATGACGTTGGCTGTGGACCATGTCCTGTCCACCCACGGTCTTTGCTCGAGGTGCGATGGTGGCGATGGGGCGATCCCGTCCGAGGATCTTTCGGGGACTCTTGAGCGCCGGAAAATCAGCGAGCCTGGCAGGAGTGAGAATTTTGGAGCATAGTCTTGTTTTTGTTGTTTTTGTGACTAGGAACAAGAAGCTATTAGTAACAAGTGCATCGCTTCTAGTAACAAGTGCCTTACTAGTAGTAACAAGGACGCTACTAGGAACAAGAAACAAGACTACTTTGCCAGTGCATTGTGCAGGAGGGCTGGTCTGCAGCAGTGCCCGTCAGTTGTCCCACAGGTGATGGTTGCATCCCTTAGCGTCCGTGTTTCTATAGTAGTAATAGTAGTAAGAATGCTCCTAGTAGCGATGCCAGGAGCCCCTAATAGCGTCCTTGTTCCTACTGACTAGTAGTAGTAGTAGTAGTAGGAGTAGCAGTAGTAGTAGTAGTAGCAGTAGTAGTAGTAGTAACAAGGGCATAGCACAAGTCTCGGCTCTTTCAGCCCCGGCGTCCCTGTACGGCATCCGACGGCTACCCATCCGGGACTTCCTGAGGCCAACACTTTTGCCAAGCAGCCCTCACAAGGCGTGGCAACTCACCGGCATATCATTGGATGAACATCCCTAGGTATTTTGGTTGAATGAACACACCATCAAATCCCCACAGTCCATTAAGTGTTTTATGTTCTCTTGTATTTCTATCAGCAGCCTTTGAGTTGCGTTCATGGAACGTAAAGAGAGACGGGGTTTGTTTCGCCCAGCTTGATGTGTCCACAACTGACACATGCGTGCAGTATTTGTCATTGGGGTCACCAACCCTTCAAGGTCTGTGTTTTTTCATGCTAAATTCGGCACCATTGGCCGTCCTCGGCGGGGGCCAGGGCGATGTCCAGACGGACGCACGAAAGCACAAGGCGGTGCTGTGAGGCACCGACTCCTTCGATGTGATTGTTTCATAATGCTTTTTTGGAGCAACAGTGACTCAGATGGATGGGTGAGACATGGGGGGAAGTTGATGGCAGTTTTATCATATTCTATCAGATTCTATCATGTGTATGCTGAAATTCATGCGAGATCCATATACTTGGGGGATCATTTGATCAATCCCCTGAGATCCAGGGCGTGAGCGGGACTTATGACATGTCTATATATGCATGTTGCGTTGCAAGAAACGTTCAGCTTGGACAGACATTTCTGCACAAAGCGCAGTGACTAGTCGAACGCATTCAAGATGATTTCAAGTTGTAGGTATCTGATGATATCTGTATTTATCAGAATACTTATATATACTGTATATATTCGTATAGACTGACACATGTGACAGGACCTTTGGGTGTACCTTGTTGCATGAGTGATTTTCCCACTGGGCGCACCTGCACAAATGGCCTTAGACATTCTACATCAGCATAATACATCCTGGTCAAGAGCCGGCAGGTGTCTAACCAACGTGGCCAACAAAATAGCTCCTTCTTTGCCCAGGATGTGACCAGCGGTCCTTGTCCGCGCCACAAACCGAGTGGCAAACACATGTGTGAGAGACATCCTGCCAGGGGTAGGGAAGGATTGAGCTTGACGTTTCATGTATGTATATATTATATGTATGTCCCATATAATTATAGGTAGATCAGCAGTTCATAAGGAGCCTGAAGCGTCGTGTCACCAGTGGGCATGTCAGGTGTGATACTGAGTGGCATGATTTGCAAAAGCGCCACGGAGGGGCCGATTTTCAAAGGGAAGAGCTTACCTGGATTTGCTGAAGAACGTTGTATGTTACGCCTCAGAACAGAAGAACTGCACTTGACATAGTAATAGCTCATTGGAGAAGCGCCTTGCTAGTCTGAATCACCCCAAGGTCTTTCAACGATTCAATATTTGACAACATGAACATGGATCAGCTTCAACTCCAGCCTGTGGTCTTCCTGGACTACCAGGCAGCTTCTCATGAATACAGTATGATACACCAATCGTTGATCTCATGGGCCCCCCCCGAAATGGATTCGATTCCATCTCCACCCCTGCCATGCCAAGACGGCTTTGTTCGTTGTGCAAGGCTAGATCTCTTTGTTTGACAACTGGTGAAGGAGGCGGACAATTTAATTCCCGATTTCGCCAAGAATAGCGTTGCCTTTTTGTTTGACACGGCTGGACACCCAAGATGTATAGGTCAGGATAGTGCTACACCATGTTACACCCTTGAAAAAGACCAACGTTCAACAATCCATGGGAGATCCAACAAACATGCCTGCAAGCTAACCGGGGGAGCTGGAGGTTGCCCCCAGAGTGATTGGCAGCGCATGCCACTGAAGCGTGTGAACGCTGCCCTTGGACAGTCGAACGCTCCGACTTCCACTGTGGAGTTGGCCCCGTCATCTTCGCGCTTAACTACAGCGTTTGGCACTTGAGATTTTCTCGGTGACTCAGCGGATTTGAGTCTTTCCTGCTCGATTGTGATGCCCTTTATTGCCTTTTGATCCTGTTGCATAACCCGAATTTTCTGCAAGCTTTTTGTTGTATGCATTGGGTTTGTTTGATATGTGACGTGCAGTTCATTTGGATTGTAATGGTTCCACCTTTATCGATAGAGCACTTTGTTGGTTTTGGTGTGGACATGCTCGGTGGCAAGGCCATGCTCGATGGTTTTCGGGTACCACAGCAAGGATATAGGTAATTATGTACTCGTACCTTTAAGTGCCCGAGAATGCCTTGGATCCTACTATGAGTCTATTCAGATCAGCAAAACTGAAAGTGGCGTGTAACTTTTTTCAATCCCACACTGTGCTTTGTTGCTGCAAGCCCATATAAACGCCTTGCCTTGATTTCAGGCTGCGCTGGGGACAAATGTTGGTCCGTCCCCACAACAGCAGCATACATATATATATATGTAATTACACACATACTGTAGCACAGAAATTAATTGGGAAGATGATGGGAGCGGGGCGTGCCAACTCCAGATCGTTTCTTCTTTTTTTCAATGTGCTTGGCTTCAGGCTAGAAATGCCTGCGTGGCACAATAGAGCCCGCCTCAAAAGGAAGGACTTGGGTTGCGACTAGTCGACCTCTCCAGCTCTTCAGAAGCACCTTTTATAATCGTTTATATTGCTTTGCGGCTCCCTCCAACATAAAGCGACCTTCAATTCCCCTGCTTGTTGGGCATGTTAAGTCGTCCCAGCACGTGGAACAAGCCACAATGCATGGACCTCACTATGACCTCGAACCACTCGCCCAATTACAGTGCTCACTTGCCATGGCCGTCGATTGAACACATCATTGCTTTATTTGATGAGAAGTAAGACTGAGTTCACGAAACTACCATGCGATGTATGAGCAATGATCATGATCGTTGTTGAAGGTTTCCGCGGATATGTGATGTTTTGTCATTCTTGTCATGGCCCCTGCCTGGCCCCTGCCTCTCTTCAAGTCGAACTCACATCGGAGACAGGTCCTGGAGATGTCGGTGTGTGGACAGCAGTTCCACAGGTCGTTTTTGCATGGGACAGCGCACGGTGTGGAAGGAGTTCATGTTGAATGTGTGTTGAAAGGAGACAGACCTGGTCTTGAATGATGTGTAGTGAGAACCCCAAATAGGCAGAATCGCATTGATACACATACAGTATACATTAAACATAATGTTGGTCTCAGACCATGTCCATCATCTATTGGGATGTAAAAGAACCCTTTGCCGTTGTTCATGATTATCTTGCCCTTCCTCATGAGGTTGCTGTCGTTGGGTGCATATGGGGGTACTAGGAGGGGGCTTGGGAGATTGCGACACATTGATTCGATGAGATGAGAGCTGAAATGTGGCTTTGTGAGAAAGTTTGCCGGAGGTTGAGTAGAGCTTGTTGGGGGCTTCGTTGGTGCTCTTCAGTACATACTGAAAACTCGGCCCTTCTCAAATCTGTTCAACTCTTGTCGATATTCTTCTACTGTTCTCGGTGCTGATTGATCAAGTTGCAGCCCCCAAGCCTTAGACCCTGTGATGGACTGCGTGAAACTCCTCTAAAATCCGAACAAGCTTTTTGCAGAAGCATTCTAAGGTACAAACCTGAAAAGGTCATAGTCATAAGTTGTCTAAAGGCTTTCGTCAGAGAGAGAGAGAGAGGGAGAGAGAGAGAGAGAGAAAGAAAAGGGGACGTTGGTTTGAGATCTGCAGCGAACCCAAAAGAGATAATATCCCCAGCAGTATTTTCGGAGAATCCCCAGTCGTATTTCATTGTTGGAGTAATTCGATATGTCTCTTTCACTCGTGCTAAGCGATGTGTTGTTACCAGCTGAGTCGAGCGCCTCAAGAGGCTCGATGCTGAGCCGAGGGCTCGGGAGCTGCGCTGGTTTTGTCCTGGTTCTGCCGGGCCCACGATTTGGTGTGGCCGTTCGAGTGCAGCCTCAAGGAGATTGGCACTGAGCTACCATGAGCTACCTTTCTGACGCCCGCTAGCTGTTTTGGATAATAAACTGGAGAAAAGAGGATTGACTTTGGTAGTTTTCCGACTTAAGCATTGTAGGGAACAGGTCTGGGGGACATTTTGATATACTTTACTCAAGTAAACTTGTCGAAGGTCGCAACCAAAGAGGCAAGTTACCGTTGGTGACATCAAGGATTGACTGTGACTGAGAACGTGCTTTGTTCTCCAGATGGCAATGTCCAGTGCGACCGTACTTGATAGGCAAGACATGTGGTCAGAATGTATTGTGGTGATGATGCTGTGGTGTGACAGTTGAACCAATGAGAACAAAACTATTCCTTCAAGCCTTTCGTCCTGGAGAACTCGACATGTTCGTCTGCAGAGTGAACCCATTTGTTTTCTTTCAAAAGCATGGAGTGCTCCTTTCTTTGATGCTGCACGTACACTCCCACCTAGGGATCTGTGAGTAGAAGATGTAAGTTGATGGCAAGTCAATTAAATGGTGTTTTGCAGATTTGGACATCAACCTGCCCGACTGGTGTTCCGAACGGTGAGAGGGTACCGCTGTGACACTGACCGCTTTGGCCGATCTAATTCGTGAAAAAAAACTGAGAACTGGGATGTGACAGGACATGTCGCCCTTTCTTCATGAAACATTTGATGCTATGCTTTCTGATCCAGCAGGCATTACATGGGATAAGTTGTCACCAAGGTTCAAATGTGCAGGATAGAGAGATTCAATTCTACGTATATAACTACAATTCGATCTTGATGCCAACGGGCTAATTGAGGCTTTCTAGTTGCTAGTCTTTGGAAACTTTTCCGTCGGGGTGAGCCTCTTCAGGGGGACCTAGTGACTAGTGGAACTGATCCTTCTCGTGGCTTCAGGAACTGCTGTAAGCCTCCAACTGAACATGCTGCTAAGATTTGTTTGTCTTGGTTCAGTCCAGGGCTTGTGCATGTTGCCAAGTTGCAGGGCACAACCAGCGTGAAGTTTATTCTTGAGGTAAGAGACAGAGAAACGAACACAGACATACAAGGTATTTTTACACATAAATGATAGGGCGCTGTTCAATGTAACAAGACCCCAAATGATGTATATATTATGGAAGTTCAATCGCTGGACAGTCGGGAGAGGCAACAACCAAGATGGAAGGTTCGATGATTACCTGCTTCAATGCCTCCCTCGCAGGCCTTCCAAGTGAACACGGAAGCTCATCTTCAACCGGTCTTGTGCTCGGCCACCTTTGATGAAGAGGCAGGAGAAGTGAAGACAGAAGTGACAGGGGAAGACAGATGTACCTTTGCAACTCCTGGCTTGAATCCCACCTGAGGTTCTATATGGGAAGGAGCCATATGTTTGGTAGATAGTCTGGGAGGGGGAAATCCCGGCAGTTTGCTGTAAGCCTTAAGGTTGTCAAATCAGCATGATCATGCGCGCACACACACACCCCTCCAAAACCACTATGATTCACATGAATACAGTACTGCTGGCAAGTGGCACCGCCGAAAACATGTGTGATGCCGGTTGTAACATTGTAGCGCGGACATGTTTGTGTGATGGAAGGGCTGTGAGCACTGGGCAGGGGAAGGAGGAGAAAGACGAGAAGGCCGAGAAGCCCAAGGAGGAAGGCTGGGATACGGAAGTGAACAACAATCATCAACAATCACAATTATCGAGCATAAAATTACATGTTGAAAGACGTCAACAGCAAATCTGTGTGCTTTGTCGTCCAACTTCAGCATTCAAGCAATCTCTTCACACCGAAGTGCAGATCTCATTTGAGTGAAGCTAACGGGTCACAGGACGTTCTTTAAAGGTAGCTAACAATCCTGGGCTTTGTCCCCTACAAAGTAGCTTCAGGATTCGCGAAGTCGAACGCGAGCAACAACACCCTCCAATAGGTCACGAAATGAACCCAAAGCATATGTTTCATGGGCCAAGCGACCCTGTAACAGACAATTGTTAGGGTGCTGGCCGTGAGTCTGTGTTGGCTTTGCTTTCTTCATTTTCTTGGCAACATAAAGAGGTCGACTCGGCAGTTGTCACAATGGCAATGTGTGATCTATTCCCCCCTGACACGCCACTCAGAACCGGTAGTATTCCAACAATCCCAAAGGCTATATAGTTATATAAGTCAAGGCACTTTGCCCTAGCTTCCGATCTCTGAGCTTGTGGCGCGGCTGGGCCAGGCATTTTGACCAGACACCACTTAGCGTTGCTGAAGCTGATTGCCAAGGACATCATTGGGGTCTCATGGTCTCATTGCTTTGCGAAAGAGGAAATAGGCATGTCATAGATTGTCATAGTACATATGAATGACATAGCTAATCAGGGCTATATAGGTGGTATTGCTGTGGGTCAGTCTAAAATAAACCCTGCAAACCACGCGCGAAGCAAATCAAATTTAAGTCTGGTGAACCACAGACTCCACTACAGATTATGTTCAAAGACAAGACAAGAGTTTGGTTGAAACTTTTCCTTCATCAAGTCTGGCAGTTTCAAAAGTTTCTCACTTGTTTTCTTCAAGACTGCCATCTCGTGCCTCACACACCCGTCTGACAGACACCGGTAACAAATGCGACAGGAAGCAGGTTGTGAGCCGGCAGATATTGTGGATGCAGATCTTTGCTTGATGGATGCCCAGGTGCCAAGAGAACGGTGGATTTGGGTTGCAGAGGTCTCTGGTGTTAGTCATAAGAGTAAGCGATTTGAAAGAAGATGTGAGGTTACTGAGATGAGATACCAGAACCTGTGATTCACTATGGGCCTGGAGATACTTGAAGGAATTGCAAGGCCTAACGCCAACAACTGGGACGATAGAAACCTTTTTCATGGTGAGCCATGCTAGTCAGAGAAGAGACTGTTGCTGTCACTGGTGGGGTCGGGGTCCAGGATCTCCTGACTTTAGAGCCAATGCTTCACCCAAAACTCCTTTTTGCTCGCCAGCTCACCTCATCAGCGCAACAGCACGCCCCACGGCAGCGCGGAACAGCAGCGCGGCGCGTAGTACACGGGGCGCCCCGTTCGGCCTCATGCGACGCATGGAAAGAAGACAGGCAAGGAGAGATATTCATCACCAGTTTCGCCTGCAGTTTGTTCATGTTTTGAGGATTGACAAGCCTGATTCTTGAGGTGTACTCTTAGACTCTTAGCTAAAGGAGTGATTTTACTGCTTTGGTTGTCTTTGGTTCTGTTCTTCACGCTTCCGTCTGTATCTCGTATATGTGAAAAGTATTGCAAAGTAAGCACTTGCAATAATTTTGCTGTTGGACCTTGGAAATTGAATTGAACATGGTTCAAGCGCGCACACACTGTGTTTTTATATGTGTTTATGTGCTTTTCATTCTTCAAAGGGTTTACTGGAAGCAGATAGACAAGGCTGACAGCTTGATTTAGCTTGATTGTTCATGGACTCTCACATGAATACTCTTTTGCAGATATGTGGCATCCAACCTATCAGGCCTTTGCATCACGTCAAGTCTTTACATTAGGATCAAGCACCAAAGATCCTTCACAAGGGCCTGAGGGACGCAGACGCCAGGTATGGCCAGCGCTGTTGCTGCTTTCCGTTTCGCTGGAGCCCCAGGTTACAAGCTGGTCAAAGCCTGAGCAAGCGGGAAGACCAGGAGCGACCGCATTGGGAGTTTTGGTCCCTAGCTTCCAGTGGAGGCCTGTGTAGGGAGACTTGCAAGCGTTCCGCTGAGGTTTAGCTATGCTTGGGCACCGATGCCTAGGACAGCTATGCTTGGGAACAAATTGCTTGTTGCTGGTTGTTGCTGGTTGTCCCTGCATGAACTCAAACTAAAGTGACTGATGAACCTGGACCCTAAGAATTGATATCAGGTTCATGGGAGCCAGATCGTAACGAAGAACACATTGCGAGCACATTTCCCAACCTCCCTGTGAGATCCCATGAGTAATTAGTCGTATGTAGGTTGTCATGAGTTTACGGCTGGGATGTTGGTATGTCAATATTCTTCCTTGGCATGAACGCTGGAAACTGGCTGGAATGCTTCTTGTGTAAGTGGAGCTGTGGTTGTTTGCTTGCTTCCTAGGCTCCGGGGTCTCCTACATTGACCTATGAAATTCTGAGGGTGAATGTGGCAATGTTTGAGACGGTCTTAGACTCAGCCTCCAAAAGAATTGTTCTTCCCAACTACCACCTGCCAACCAAACCCGCCCATCCCATCCCGTACCGCCGTCTTCTTCACATCAAATACAGCTTTTTCCAAAGGATCTTCCCAAGAGGAGTAGAAGGGATGCACACCCAACTGGTTGCCGCTTGCATCTATTTTACTGAGAGTAAACCCCCTTTCCAGGAGTAGAGGGATCTTTCCAACTGATCGCTGTTTAGAACCTGATCTTTCCAAGCGCCCAGTCCACTGCCAGTCCATCCAGGAGCCGAGTGCAGTTGCAAGCCTCACTGGAACAGGTGCGTCGAATTTCTCACGGTCGGGTCTTCACGGTCGGTCGGTCGGTTGAGGAGTTAGTTCCCTGACCGGTCGTCCGACCGGTTGGGGGTGATCGAAGGGACTCAGGACAGGAGCTACTAGTAGTGTCCTTCTGGCCAAACGTGGAGGTCCTGTGAGGTCCTGTGGAGCAACACGTCTTCCACGCCGAATTTCCCCGAAGACAAGTTCATCGAAGCCTCAGACTGCTATATCGATCTATATCGTGTGGGCCGAATGCATGCCAGTCTGGGACAGCCAACATCATCCGCTTTTGTGGCATGACCATGACCGACTTGATTGACTTGCTGCTGCTGATGATGATGACGACGACGTCGACGACAGTTGCGATTTGTTCCGTGTGCACAGAGTGCAGTGCTGAAGATTGGGACGTTATGGTTTCACGCAACCGGCGTAATGCCAAACCCAAGGGCCCAAGAGATGCTTTCACTGTGTGTTGATGCTTGTCTTCAACGACAGCTCAGTTCGGGTATGCAGACAATTGGATACCAATATGCTTCAGAGAAGAATGTGCCAACCCGTCATAGTATAGTGATGAGAGTAGATGGAATCTATTGCAGCATGGTAGGTCGTAGTATTAAGTAGTATGAAATACAGACTACAAATGGCATTACATTGTATATATAGTTATATTATACACATACATATACATATTCATTGCAGTTCAACCAAAAACCGGCCGGAAATAAAAGTTCCACTTGCTTTGCATGTGAAGCTGCCAAATGTCCACTCCTGATTCTCCCATGGAGCCATGAGCAGGCATCCAGCCAGGGGCGCTTGCCTCAACAACTGCTCACAGGAGTGATGGCCCATTGGGAGTGTTGCCATTCCCATTGATCATTGGAGGATCATTGGAGGACTTAGAAAGTCTGAAATTTGAGTTACAAATAGCGATGGCCTCCAACCTAGTAGCAATGTGAAAACATCATTTTTTGCCTTCCACATTATGCCCTTGATGCTCCGGGCGATCTTGCTAGTTCTTTGAGGAGTACTCTCACAGCCGGAGATCTACCAAGATTCGTTTCTGGCGTGGAGCCTCAGACGCGATAGCGCCCTTATTAATTATAGTCCTGGTGCTCCCTGACATTGAAAAGAACTGGTTACCTTAGATGTCCATAACTTTCCGCCCTCTCTCTCTCTCCCTTTCTCTTCTGCAAAAACATTAGGACAAAGGAATGACATGAATAAGTTTCTCAACCAAAGCGTGGATCTTCCGACCCAGCGCTTTGGTCCTCAGATGGGCTTCATCCGAGACCTCGGCGATCGGTGGACCAGCTCAGCTTGGGAGCCGAGGAGTGGCTTGCGAGAAGATTTGAACAGAGGGACCTGAAAAACGAGAAGATCGACGAACAGATCTGAACAAAGAGGGATTCTGCAAAGTTCCCTTTGAATTCCGCTCATGAAGGGACCGTTTCAAGAATTGCGTTCAAGTCTCCAATCCCTGTGAAGGGGGTCGAAAGGGATTAGCATGGTCCAGCCAATTGCTGGGTGTGCCAAGGAAGCTGTGTCAGCACCCACGCAGGCTCGTTGATTGGTTTGTTGGTGGTGCGCCTGGTATGCAGCTCTACACAGGATGTTTGTCCAGAGGCCATACGGTCCAGATCTTTTTTAGGATGCCAGGATGACCTAAGTCATCAGTCAATCTTGTGAGAAACTTCTTTCGGACACTACCAGAAAGAAGTGTTACTTGGATGTTCCTGCGCGACATACACAATGTTAGGGAATTCAGATGGAAACGGACAGGTGTCAATGATTAATGTAAATTGTGTTCTACCATTGTCCTGGAGTTTCTGTGAATGATGTACAGTACACCTCTCCCAGCCTCAATTGTAAGCGCCTAGACAAAAGGCGTTCATATGTTCATCAAGCTCGATTCATACGAGTAACTTATACAGTATAAGTGTGCCAGTGAACGCTCTCCCGAAGCACCGGGCGAAGTTTCAGTGTTCACAACGTGGATACGGCCGACCGGAGCCAGGCCAGCAGCCGCGAAGCGCTCGTCGCCGCGGTGAGGAGCTTCATCCAACGCGGCCAGCAGGAGATGTGCCCCCATTGATCTATTTGTAAAGCCTTCGAACTGGTAAGCGAATGGGTTTCCCCGGCATGACCTGAAGATTCCATATTCTGCAGATGTCCACAAGAGCATCATTGTTGAAATGATTGGATGCTTGGATTGTTGGAGCGTCAGGCTTCTTGCACTATCCCCAGGTGGGGATCGAATGGTTTTATAAAGAGTTCTTTTTAGTAGGCAGATGCCCAGAGCAGCTGGATGAATAGAAAGGACACCGTTACGCATGAATGAACGGTTCTTGGGATGATAGCTGAAACACCCGGTGGGGCATTGTTTCAATCCAACAATTTCCACCATTGCAAGGAGATGCAGTTGTTTAACAACTATGTCGAGAATGAGCTTGGGCGCATCATAGGCAGCCCTGATTCCGCTAGTGGCGCATGGTGGGCTTGAGGTGTAAGCAAATATGCTCCATGCTCTAAGTGGTGTATTAGTATCAGAAGTGAATTTTGGTACAAGGAAACACATTCCCACAAGGAAAGTAGAGTTCAGAGAAGAAAGCGTTGAGTATTGGCAAAAGAGCTCACCCTGCGGACAGAAGTTGGGCATTCCAAAAAGTTACTGTATATGAAATATTGTGTGTTCAGTGTGTTTGATCCAATAGCATCCCAGAAATTTGAGAAGATCGACATCTTGAGTTGGAACAAGCATGTCTTTGCAAAGGTTGATGTTGTTTCAACAGGGGCTGTTTTATAAAGCCTCGGGAACGTTCTACCGACAACGTTCCACCAGCTGCTGACATTGTTTTTCCTGGTGCTTGGACAGGCTTCCTGAGGTCTTAGTTTCACAGACCCACAGGTCCTTTGATCAAGATGACTGAGAACCGGAGTGGTCTCAGCATAGAGCTGGGTATGGCCCAAGATCAAGATCTGTTAAATATCACTCAATTGTCTCTTCCCGTGTGTTTGTCCATGACAATTGGACTAGATCGTTGATGTTAAGGCTATGTTAAGGCTCAATAGTTTCCACGTTCATGTTCTTTATGACATATGCCACCCAAAAAGATGCAGCCTCCATATAAGGCAACCGGCGATCATCCACATCTAGGCGGCTCAAATTTCCCCATCTGCAGCGTTGTTCCGGTTCGCTTCGACCAGGCGATCCCTACGTCTTTGACCTCCGCATCAAAATCTTGGACAACGGCGCTCGGAAGGCGTGGCGACGGGGCAGCGGAGGGCCGCCCAAGACAAGCGAAGGAGGGCCCCTGAGGCCCATGGAAGACCCATGACCCAAGGATGAACAGTCGAAACGCTCAAACTCGATAATGCAACCCCCTGCACTACCTCATTGTGTCATCATGGAATGCAGATAATACAAGATTGAAATGGTACATGGCATTGGGAGAATGGATGGAAAGCAGACATGGAGTGCTGCGGAGATTGTTCAACAAGTTGACAAGATATGATTGCAAAGCAAAGGTAGACCTAGAAGAGTACCTAGAAGGTATCACTGCAAATGCAAGAAACAGACATGTTGATGCCCAATACAGACAGACTTTTCGAGTCGTCGGATTTAATGTGTGCCATCATGTGAGTGTGCTCTATCTTTAATTAGAATTAAGTGTAATTAGCTACTAGGAACAAGTGCATCGCGACTAGGAGCAAGGGCCTTACTAGTAGGAACAAGAAGCTAATAGTAACAATAAGTAAATAGACTTTCATACTGAGCTCTCATGGGCGCTCTCATATGCGTGCTGTCGTGTACTGGTGTGGTGCTCTCATCTCTGTGTGCGGGCTCCCCATATGTGCTCTCATGTGTATGCTCTATGTGTGCTCTCATTTGTGTGCTGTCCTGTGTGTGTGCTCTCCAAGGAAAGGGTTGCTGCTATTGATGTAGAGACACAGGTTTGTGACGGTTCGTTAATGGCATAACCGCTTTGTGTCAATGTATGCCGTGCACTTTCACTGTTTGGGATATATAGCTTGCCCGTAGAAGTTTCCTTTTGTGAGGAGTATGAGCGCATCATTTCCACTGTAAATGTTCCTTTGTTTCTGATAGTCTCATGTTTGAAGAAGCTCAATAACGCCTTCTCCTTTGAAAAAAGTCTTCCCCTCCAAAGGTTAAATCATTTGTTATGGAACACCTCCATAAGTCCATATCTGCCAGAAACCCTCCCTCCTACTTTGTAACGAGTTGCTTTAAACACCCGGTCAAAGATTTGAGCCTGGATTGTTGACATTGGGCATGCAGAATGTTTGCTGAAGACAACTGTGCATCGAACAAGAGCTTCATTTATTGAAAATCACAAGAAAAAGCAGTTGAATTCCGGAGTCCAAGTAAAGCCACATTGAAAGAAACTCCTGTGGACAATTCTTTCCGCATGGTATTTTTTTGTTGGGTAACCACATTGCTTATCTCCAGTCCTTGTCACGCCAACCTTACACGTTCACTGTTTCAATAAGTGGATCTGGAAGTGAAGTCATGCAGGGTAAACCTATATTTCCAGAGGAGAAAGCCCGGTTTGTCATGCTCAATGGCGGTATAGTACACAGCCCGCCCCCAAAAGGATGTTCAATTCCTATATACGGTAAATATGGTGCCCTCCTCTTGCGCTACCCCCGTCATGTTCATAGTTTACAAGTACAGCATTTGTTTGTTTATATATATATATATATGTATACATTATTATATCTCAATATGTCTTGATTATCCAGTTATGATTTTGGCCAAAACAAACATCAAATGTTGATAGTTGTATGTTTGCTTTCCTTGCAAGGGTCGCCCGGCCCCCTGACTGATTACAGCTGAAGCTATATTCCTTAAAAAACAATACAACGATCAAAGGACATATATTTGTGATTAGTTGCGTGGAGTGCTGGAATGGACTTGTATGCGCATTCCTGGATCTAAGCTTCTGAGGGAAAACTACAATACCCAGTGAGTCCAATCAATTCCACTCATCATAGGCCAGCTGTTTGGAATCAGAGTAGTAACCAAATACGAGGAACGTCCTGGATGGCGTGGGAACCCTACACTTTTGGAAGACCGAAAGACGACCGTGGTTGCGTTAGAGTTGCCTGGAAAACCGCCTGTTCAGAACACGAGGCCTTGAAGCGTGCGGCGAGGCAAGCCATGATGGTCACCTGGATGAACAAAATATTGAAATTGACTGCACCTGATTCTAATAGCGATGGCCTCCAGCCTAGTAGCGATGGCCTCCAACAAAGAACTACCATCATCAGGCGCCAGTTCACAGTGCTGGGCCGGCCTCAAGCTGGATGGCGTTTGCTAGGCCAAAATGTACTGAAAAAAGGCAAAAAGGTGACATCTGAAGTTGAAATTGGCAACTCATGTTTATGTTAGTGTAATTGATAGGGGAAAGAAGCGAACAATAATACGAAGGACTCAATGTTTGATCATTATCTGGACCAGATTCCACCTTTGATATTTACAAAGAGCGTTTCTTGCCATTTCTTCATCAAAGACCGAACATCCCAAGCTAGTGGCCATTCAGGTTCGTTCGAATTTGTGATTAAGAGACACTCCAGACCTTGGACGACCCTGCTTGGCAGGGGGTTGGTGTGGAAACAGCGTAGCTTCCTGCTGGGATCATGAATGTCTTTGTGCCTGGAGGTGTTCAGCGCTCAACTTTGCAGGACAAACCCAAAGGTGTTGTTGTTCTCTGGTGGATCTTGTTGCGTTGGGTCGCCTTTCTGACGCTTTCTTCACCGCCAACGAGGCTCCTCTCAGCATAACCATGGCCCCAGCAACGTTCATCCAAGGATGAGATGCTTGCCCAGAGCAAGGCCAAGCGCGCAGAGCGAGCATCCGTCACCAACACCGCCTAGAGCGCACTGGTGGCGACGGAGGCACGGAAGTTACGGTGGCAATGGCCACGGTGTTGAATCCATGGAAGACCAGGCGACAAGAGATAGGTGCTAGGATGTCCTTCCAATCCTTGGAAGCCTTCAACTTTCCTCGCTTAAGAACCTTGCTCAACCCACCAGACCTGAAGAGCAAACAAGAGAAATCTCGTCAGGAGATGTCAGGAGAAGCCGTTTGCTGAGCTCGCAGATCGTTTCACCCTGCTCACCATGGACGTCACCTGAGTTCCAAGCCTGCTGCCTTCCAGCCTGAATAGAAGGCAATTTTCTCACAGCAATGAATGGTTTGAATGGGAAGAATGAGAATTGGTGTGCATGAGATATTTACCAATTTAAGAGAACACATGATATGTTTGACATAAGCTCCACCTCACTACATTGAGAAATATACGTCCGTGTGAATGTGCCAAGTATCATATGTCAATATGTTTGACTTTCAGGAACTATTCCTTTGAATACTCTATGCAATTGTTCCGATAGAGCTCAAGTAAGTATATACTGGATTGGATTGCCAATGTTCAGAGACCTAAAACCTAAAATGGCTGCAGACGAGGCTGCTGGCTGGATTGCTAGTCCATTGTCCTATTTTGAAGAAGCCGGAATTTAAAGGTTTCAATGCATCAAATCGCATACTTTTTTACGCACGAGACTTAAGGTCGAAGGTCGCATCATTTGCTATGTTCATCGGCTTGGGGCTTGGTGAGCCTGGTGCAAAAAGCAGATCCACCTCCACCTCGGAGCCACGCGACGCCAGCGGAGCCCGGCCCTTCAACGACCCGGTGTCGAGGGTCGGGACGCGGCGGACGCTACGCGTGGCGAAACGAAGAGTTCTGGGCAGCAGTTCTTCAGACTGGTCATGAACACGCGCTGATTGGGGCTGATCAGTGGCTCTTTGGCTTGGGTGTTGTGGGCCTTGTGGTCCTTTGGCATACACAGACTGGACACAGACCGTCGCAGACTGATGTAATCTGTGAGAACATGGGGAAAAAGAGATCAAACTGCATGCTTGTTTAAATAGATATGCATGCTGCATGTACGATTGTTTGGTACAGCCAAGACAAACCCTCGCAGTGCCACTCATCAACCTTCGGGGCAAGGTGTGCAAAGTGCTCGCCCTTGTTCAGAAACCCTGCCCCCGGTTGAAGCAGAAACGAATGCCGCCCGATGCTGCAGGAATGTGTTAAGATTCAGAGCGACCTGAACTCGTGTCTTCACTCTCAAAGTATCTTTGGAGTGTGCGCTCTCTCTCCCTCTATATATATAATACATACGGTATTGGTTGCCTTATTCTCCAAGGCTTAAGAACGTCCTCTACATGTGGGCAGAACCATGTTTGAGCATGTTTGATCCATGTCTTCAAGTTACCAGCAGTCACCCCTGCTTGGATTGTGGTCTCATGTGGTCTCAGAGTCAATCTCGGGGCTTGCAACATCAATAGTGTGACATAGTGTGACCTTCAGAGTCACCTTCCAAACAACCTTTGAATTGAAATTGAACTTACCCCTGACCTTTGGGGGCCCAATGCCCCAAGTACCCCCAGGTGCTTCAACACCTCCATCCGAAAAGTCCCTCCCTGAGCCAAGCGAACGCCATCGAGCGAATGCCAGCCGTCGAACCTGGTGGGCGTCTACAAGGAGTTCATCTCCTCCCCACGCATTGACAACCAGCTCTCCACATGGGGCGCCGTTCAGGTGAAGATGCCCTGATTTCAGCACAGTTTTCAGTCCGTCGGGGGGTTAAAGATTGAGCCGAGATTGGGGCTACTAGTACAGACAAGAACATGCAGGTTCTTGAGGGGTGCTGTCTTTGATGACTGCGTATGTACATGACCTACAAGTATTTATTGTAACATTTATCTTTCAAGACTCAAGCTCGCAGAACAGATCGGATGCTGCAAATTCTAGATTCTAGCACCTTAGAACACCTATGGCTCAAGGTTGGCTTGATCCGCAGGCTTCGCATTTGAGGTGGCAAGTGTAGGTACAATGCTGGCAGCCGAGCTGCACGCATCCAACACGTTCAGCACGTTCATCCGAAAACGTGTCTGCCAGGGGATTATCGACTTTGCGAAGGATGAAAAGGCCATTGCTGATGCCAAGGAGAAGTGGTTTCTACAAGAAATGTTCCTGTTTGCCTGAGTGGAAGTGTCAGTTCAAGCACTTGAAACAAACCGCTCTGTGGAGACCACACCTGTTTTGTATGACTGGAAAGCAATTAGATTGGTCATTCTACAATGGGAACCTCGGAAGTTCAGGATACAGATTCTATGTTTCTGGGTTCTCCCGCAGCTGCCAGGACGTGTGCCTGGCGATCTCTTTTGACCACGAGGAGGCACTGAGGGAGGAAGGTGTTCGATGTTCGATTTGCCCAAGCAGGATTTACAGATGGATTCGAACCTTACAAATGGATTGGTGATGGTGGGTGGGAGCGCCGATTCAGCGAGAGGTCGGCAGCCAGTCCTTCACCGGCGCCGACGGCGCCACCTTACCTTCGTGGCTGGAGCGGACGATGAACGCGCTGGACGTGCACCTGGGCGATGAAAGACCTGAAACCTGAAACAAATGTCTCTCAGAATCCTTGAACCACGATGACTGGACATTAAATTATGCATACTGCTTTATGTTAAATGTTGGCTGCTGGGAAAATCATTTGAAAATGCAATAGACTAGTGACTAGACTTGTTCATTGTTCCGGATGAGTTGATGTAAACATCAGGAAAATATTAATGTTCGCCAAACCACGACGCCCGCTCCTGAGGGCTAGCGCGACTCAGCCAGAGCTTTTGACGAGGAGCTTTCTCATCTCGGCGGCCAGGGGACCTCAGCTGAGACGGGCACTCGGGGAAAACTGCTTGTGACGGAACCGGTCAAAGCAGTGCTTAAAGAGAAGTGTAGGATTTGATGCGCTTTCTGCTGTTTTGTGTACTGGGTTGGATAGTTTTGAGTTGTTGTTATCGCTTGTAACCGTCACCGATTCTACGGTTTCCGTGAGAGAATATGGATTGTTCAAAGACTGCTGTTAATCGCAGTCATAGAGCTATCTACTCGTACAAGTGCACCTAATGGTCACAAATTCCAGCGCATGTGTTTATCGGCAAAGTGTTGGCCGTGTATCGTACACCATGTCTTGGAGTTTGGAGTTCCGCATGCGGTGTTTGTCGAGAGATCCCATATTCTACAAACGGTTTCCATTTCAGGAGGATTTGATATCTCTTCAAAAGTCAGTTGTCCCGTTGTCCCAAAGACGCCATGAGGATTGTGCACATGGCCTTCACCCAAACTATGCAGCTAAGCATCAGGCACTGGCAATGGAGAGAACTTCTTGTGGGAATGGATTTGAAGGGAGTGCAATGCTTGAATCTGGGGCATGTGCCCAGATTTGTTGAAAACAATCAACATAAGATTACTGGTAACACATCCTCTACCAACTGCAGACCAGTCAATTTCTTTGTTCTTTTTCAATGAGTGGCTGAGGAGTAACGGTAGCGGGGTTATCAGGGTTTGTGCCAAAAGGACACGCGATCATATACCTACTGTAATCCTTCACACATGCGTGCTCTATGTGCTGTTTCAGGTCTGTATTTGCTTCAAGACCACGGCTATACTTCAACACATGACTGAGAAATACAAAATAGTACGTACAACTAACATGTTCACATATGCAGGCATGATTACACGTCTCAAGTTTCCCCTTTGTTGATCAGACCCAGTCCCTGCGCGACACAATGCCCCAGAAGCAGCAGCTGTTGCTGTTCCCAAGCATCTGCCGGACCAAAACATCCCACAGGCGGAGCATCGTCCAGCTCCCAGAACCCCGGAACATCTCCATGTTTTTCTAAAGTGATAGGATGGCCTCGTTCAAGCTACGTAGGAGAGATCAAGAGTGCATTGAGCATGCGCTCAGCTTGCGAGTACTAGTACTGCACATCGACACAATATGTGTATGTATGCCTTTTAGCTTGGAAGGATGTAATTCTGAATCCTGCACTCTTACTACTTGACCTCACAGTCTATTTGCAAGAGCTAGAATCAGCTTTCATGTTGACTGTTAGCTTTCCTTCTTGGCACTCAGATGAACACCACAAAAGGACACGTGCAGGGCTTTCAGTTGTCAAATCTTATAAGAAAAAGTAGATTTGTTAACCATGGCTTCCACAAAGAGCTTTCAGATAAAGGCTAGAAGACATATTGCTGCGGATCATATGCTTTCTGTGACCAGTTGCAGCAGAACTACTAGCGATGATCCTAAGGTCCAAGCTTCCACAAGGGAATCGTCATTAAGACGAATGCAAACCAGAGGCTCGCCCTTTGCGCATGGCCAACAAACTGGTTGTTACTGACCAACCAGCTTCTTGATTCACACACAGCGCAGTTTGATTCTAATTGAACTCTCCTCCTCAACATTCGGTCAGTGGAAACAATGATTTTAGCTGATGGGTGTAAGATTTGCTGTAAGGACGTGCAGCAGAACACGGTGCCGTAAGGTTGCCGGAAGTTGAAGTTGTTTGCATTCATGGGAGCTGGGCCCAAAGATAATTATTGAAGAACGGAACGCACATACCTTGGCCGTAAGTCTTGCCGAAGCCTACCGTAAGGCTAGAATTCTCGGAACAATAGAACACATTTGTTTGAACGCTCAAGTCGACTTGGAAATTGCTTGGTGGGTTGTGTGTCAATAGGATCAAGTAAACCAACCTAGCAATTCCCCTCATGATCCTCATGACTGGTCATGACTGATGACTACACAAGCAATGATGCGTGGAAGAAACGTTGATAACACAATAGCGTCCGTCGATTTGAGAAGTGAGGTATGCAACGACTCCTCTAACTGCTGCGCTCTTTAGAGAAGTGGGCGGCCCAGGGATGTGACGATGGCGGTTGAGGAGGCATTACTGTATTTTCTCATCAATAGAACTTGTAGTCCGTAATCATGTTGTTTAAAGTTCCATGATCCCTGAGTTGTGACAAGGTGTGTTTCCTGAGGACACCTTTGTCAACCATCGGTTGGAGAGCTTATGGGGCAAAGCCACCTCTTGATGTTGTTCTGCTTTCCAGACAGGTTCGTTTCCATTTTGTTTGCTTGTGTTGATTCACAGTCCGAATATTGTATTGCGCACTTGTTTTGAAATACTTTGAGTAGGCTGTTTTGGTTGGCCGAAGACCCTCGCAGCCGGGCTGACCAGGAGATCCCAATTTTATGGATGTCATGTGATGACGTTGTGTCTTTGGCACTGAACACAGTATATTAATGTACATATTCTCATGGGTTCATCACATGCACCTGAACACGTGCTCAAAACCCCGAACATCGCCTATATAGTTGTTCTTTGTTCCGAACTGTGCTTTCAAACAGGTTTGCCAAATCCATGCAGATCTGACATGATCTGACTCCTACTAGTGATGCCAGGAGCCCCTAGTAGCGTCCTTGCTCTGAGGTCTGTAAGCGCAGTGACGTGCCGGTGCAAGACTTCGTGGTGAGGAACGATAGCCCGTGTGGCAGCACCATCGGCCGGAAAGCTCAGCGGCGATTCCGACCATTGGCCGAGAAGACGACTACCGGATGTGTGGCGGACAGTGGGTGTCTTGGAAGAAATGAAAAGAAGCATCCCCCTAGGGCCCCTAGATCCTAGATAAGTAATTATAGATAATAATTGATATTTTGCCATGTGCCCATTGAAGAGTTTCAAAGGGAAAGTGGGTCAGAAAGAGGGTTTGTTCTGCAGTAGGTTTCCTGAACAAAAGCGATATATTTTGGGAAAACTGCACAGCTGGCACAGCTAACACTGCAAAGGTGGCAGGACAGCTATAGATTCCCGCCATTTGGTTCCATCATTTGTGTTTGGAGAGGCGAAGAACATTTAATGGGATCCATTGGCCAAACATAGAAATGGAGACCGCGTAAGCGCTGGCCACACCTGTTGTTTTTGCTTGTTTGTTTGTTTGTTTGTTTGTGTGT